AAGATGTCCATGTCAAATGATTTTCGTTTATTAGCAGTTTCATATTACTAAGGTCAGTACTCCCAGTTTGACAGAATTAAACTTCACTTTTTCAAGAAATGTTTATTATCATTTGGTTTTAAAATTTCTACTTACATGAACACATGTCAGAAGGGTATAAAATGAAAAAAATTTATTATCCTAAGAGTCAAAACGTTAAACAATCTTTATATTTACTACTCTTGAGTCTAAGAAAATATGTCATACCCTACTGTGCTTATTAACATATTGCATACTTTTAAAATGATAACTGTTGACAGAGATTTACAGTATGCCCAAAAGAAAATACTAAATTTTTGTAATTATATATATGTACATATATATATGGTGAAACAGTACTTTTCTTAACTGAAAAATAAAAAGGCTCAGTGGTATAAGTGCCTGCCTGGAAAGCTCAAAATGGTACTCGATACCTGGTACCACATTCCAGGCTGGCCCCGGAACACGAAGCATGCTGTACTGACCACCAAACTAGGTATGGTGGCGCACACCTATAATCCAGGACTGGGGAGGCAGCAAATCTGAGCTGCGTAGTGAGACCTTTTACCAAACACATAAATAAATAAAAAAGATTTTTAAAAGAATTATTAAATAACAAAATCCACTCAACAACCTAAAGAATAACAAAATGAATTAAAAGAAATAAGTTTATGTATATCAGAGTTTACTAAGACTAATTATAAATGCAGTGTTAAAGGAAAAGAACCTATTCATAATAAAGATAAAATCTATCAAACATCTTACAGAAAACTTAGTCAATAAGACTATAACTAGATGGAGAAAACTATTAGTCATATAAGACTGGAATCTAACATGTTTTATGATTTAGAAAAATATTTTTCTTATAGTACACATGAAAACAAATATATAAACACATAATAAAGACAATAAAATATTTCATATCTAATAAGAGTACAGCTTGTTGTTTAATATCAAGGGCAAATTATACTGAAAAACATGAAACTAATAATAATAGGGTAAAATTGAAGCTTTTCAATTGCCCTCAGTTCCCATAGACCTCGGATCCTTCAATTAGAGTTAATGTCTCTCACTAATTCTATCATGCATTTTCTTAATAATATATAGTATTCTTACAATGTGTATAAATTCAGTTCCTAACACAATACACTGCATTTCATAAGCATTCAACCATGATTTGTGTATTTTGAGGATACTCTTTCAATGCAAAGTGCCATAATTAGTGTATTAAGTTCGCCTATTCAAAGAAACTTTTATTACTGTTCTACTACAATTTTATAAGAGATAATAAAAGAAAGATAATGCTATCAAAAAGTCTGACTCATACACTTTTTAATATATCCAACCTGTTTATGTTATAAATGTAATCGTGACATCACAATATTAGCTAGCACTGTGGTGCTAACATGTGCCAGAAGTACACATTATTCCACACATAAAGTATCTTATTTAAGACTCATTATAACAGTATAAATTAAATACGTTACATTTTATAGTTGAGGAAACAGGAACAGTGAAAGGTTAAATAATTTATTGATTCCAAAGCAAATACTGATATATTAGCTATAATAACAGACTAAACACAAATGCCATATCTAATAATATCCCAAAGAAAATCCACAAATGTATTTATATAATACTGACAATAATGCTAGATTGGCTTCATTGGGTTGTGTTTTTTTTTGGGGGGAGTGTTAAAAATACATACAACTGCAGTATATTTAAAACCTTTCTTTTCAGATATCAATCTGTTCCCTTCTTTTCCTTAAATTGTCATGGACTTGGAACTTAACAAATCTATTTTCTAGTTTTAAAAAATGACTTTTTCTTAGTAGGGTGGACTAAAAATGTGAAAAGGTAATAGAGTCATACCTTGTGTTCTTATAAATTGTTTAGTTAAGTAAGTAAAGTAGCCCTAAAAATGACTTTTACATGTCACTTCACAATAGAAATGTCAGAGGTAGCAAATATTATCTTGCTAATTTTAGGAAATATGAAAACTAATACTGACTATTTAAAGTTTCAAAAATCAACCAGATAATGTGCAATTTCTACTATTTTGTGCCTCAGCTTGCCAGATGTACAATATCAGTAACAAAATTAATGTGAAATAATAAAACTAATCTTAAATTTCAAAGGAAAACATATTTCTGAAAGCTTCTGCCTAACAGAATGGCAGAACCTACTATGCTAATCTAAGGAATTTTTATAGACATAATCATCCAAATGTTCCTTTTATCTATGTAAACAAAAACCCTAAAGTCATGATGCTGCATTTGACAATGGGTTTTAAGATACAAGACCAAAAATAAAAGCAGCAAAAGAAAAAGAAGATGAACTGGGTTTTATCAAAATTGAAAACCTTTCTATACGAAAGTCACTATCTATCCCTTAGCAGCTTGCTAGAATAGAGTTCAACAAACTTATTCTGCAAATGACCAGACAGTAAGTATTTTAGGCTCTGTGTGAACTGCATGGTCTCTGCTAACTGCTGCGTTCTGCCACAGTAGTGCAGAAGCAAATATGAATGTATGTAAATGAATGAATATGACTTTTCAAAGAAAACTTTATGGACACTGAAAAAATATTTAAAAATAAAAGTCACTATCAAGAAAGGAAAGGGCCAGTAAGGCAGAGACAGAGACAGAGACAGAAAGAGACAGAGAGAGAGAGAGAGAGAGAGAGAGAGAGAGAGAGAGAGAGAACAAGGCCTGGGAGGTAGCTCAGTGGCATAAGGCACCTGTCTGGCAAGCACAGGGTCCCAAGTTCAATGGCCCCCTCCAAAAAAAAAAAGTAAAAGCAGAAAGGAAGAAAATATTTGAAGATCATGTATGGGATAAGGGCCAAGTGCTTAAAATATATAAATGCTGTTATAATCTAAAATAAAACCAAATCAAAATCCATTTATAAAATGGGAAAAGACTTGAATAGAAATTTCTTTAAAGATGTTCCACAGATGGAAATGACTAAAGAATAGATGTAAGAACTCAATGGGTGTTTGTACACCAGATTGACAGCAGCATTATTCACAACAGCCAAAAGATAGAAACAAAGTGTCTCAATGGAGAAATAGATACATATTTTGCACCCCATGATCTCCTGTTCTCAGTTGTATAAATAAAGATGCAGACCATGCTGGGTTGTAGCTACTTCTCCATCAGAGTGGGCACATCCCACCCAGTTCCAAATTTCTTTTTATTATGTGTTTATCTTTTCTTAATCTGCTGCTCCAGCTCAAGATCCCACAGGATGTGTGGGATATGGCATGAAATGAACCAGACATTTTCCTTACTAGGTATGTGATTTCAGGTATTTCACCTAATTTCTTTGTGCTCTTGTTTCCATATTTAAAACAGGGATAAAAGTAACATCTGCCATACAGTTGTAAGTTAACATGAAGTAAAAGACAGTGCCTAAAACACAAAAAATACTAAATGTCAGCCAATTTACCTACACTAGACTCTCCAGTGGGTCAGAGCATTCCACATCATAAGCTTCCTTTCCATCTGTCCTTACCAGGAAATCTACTATTGCCTGAGCATATTGGAATCAAAGACTTAATCAGTTTGTTTTTACCCTGTGTGTCAAGCCTGAATGCATATTACAGTCATCCAGAAAACCTAAAAAAGAAAAGTGCCCAAGATTTGCCCTATAATCTCAAATTAAATACTTATTTAATTATTTTAGGGAATAGCCCAGACATCTACATTTTTTAAAGTTAGTATTAAAAATGTATCAAGATCAGGCCCTGTCTACTCTGAAAACTCTCATTTCATTAGCCAACAACTGGAGTTTTTCCTGTGGATTCTAATTATACTATCCCCATTTAAATTAAGAATACAAAACAAATTGAAATATCAAGGTCCAATCTAGAAATAAGAAAAGGATTATGATAAAATTCCATCTTAAAAGGAAATCTAAAAGGCCAAACATTCTTTAAAAGGAAAAGAATCAGCAAGGTAGAGGAAGACAGTGGACAGTGGAATTTGGTGAATAAAATGTGGCAGTCACATTAGCACCTCTACGCTCTTTTCATGTGTGCCAGCTCCTAAGGCAATATTACAGATGGCCCCATTGATCTTTAGAACAATCCAATGAGGGACTATCATGTGTCTTTCATATCTGATGAAAATGAAGCACTGAGATGTTAGAGACTCATGATTGTAATTGAAAGAGTGAACATCTGAAATGTTAACCCAGTATTAATTTTGAACCCATCTTCTTAAACACTGTAATATACTGGCACATCGTACAAAAATACATATTAGATTATGTAAAACATATCTCTATAACCTTTAATCATTTCCTATTTCAAATGTCAATACAGTTACCTACTGCTGCAAAATGAACTATCAACAGTGATTTTTTTTTTTTTTTTGATACCAGTGATCGAACTCAGGACCTTGCACTTGCCAGGCAGGTGCTTATGCCACTGAGCTATCAACCCAGCCCTAGTAGTGATTATTTTGGGGGTTTTTTTTTTTGGTTTTTTTTTAAATTTGTTTATTTATTTATTTATTTTGTGTGTGTGTGGCCAGCTCAGCCCACCAGGGGGCGGGGCTGGCTGGCATGTGGTGCTGGGGATTGAACCGCAGTCCCTGTGCTTTGCTAAGCTTGTTCTAAGCAGGCGCTTTAGACCACTGAGCCATCTCACCAGCTCCATTTTTGAAATGATATTATAAGTAATTTTATTTGTATGCATTTGATGAATTTTCTATAAGTCATGTGTATTCCTTTTAATTAAAAAAAACATTTTAAGGCTGACATATCATAGAATTTTTATACTTACACAGTTTCTAAGGAACTTATGTTACTTTCCAAAAGTACTGAAAGTGAAAGAAAACATTTTTCTCTCATAATGCATATTCTTCACAATATGTCATCTCTCTGTGAATTTTCTTTCAATATAGTTTCAATACATTCAAGATATTTTAATTTAATATACTTAATAAAAATATATTGAGCAAATGAGAAATACTTACCTGTACATTGTCCTCCATTGGTTGGATCTCCATAATAACCTGGCATGCAGTCTTGACACTGCTTTCCCGTGGTGAGGTTTTTACACTGTTCACACACATTATTATTGATGCAAATGCTATGTCCATTACACTGGCATGCTAAAGGAAACAGTAAAAATCATTATAAATATCTACATAATAATAGCAAACAATGATAGCCTACAAGACTAACTTGTTATAAAATCTGGATCCTAGCGAAGTCCAAAGAGCTCTTTACAAGTGTTTTAATGGGTAACTCGTGTGTCTCAAATTACTAATGCAAGACAACATATACTATAAACTGTATGCTAAAATTATACCTTAACCTTTATAATAGAAAGGAGAGATAATATGAAATATAAAAAGTTATATTTAAAAAGGGATATATTTTCTAAAGATTTATATGAATGGTATGGCATTTATGTTACATTAAAATACTGAATAATATACTTATGAAAACGAATGTGAAAATATATTTGAATGTAATAACAAAGAATCAATAAATATAAAAATAATATGTCCACAAATCTTTACTTCAAGAAGATAAATTAACTAGTTATGGTGTTATATGCCTGTAATCTTAGCACTGCAAGTTCAAAGTCCACCTGGACAACTTAAAAACTTAGTGACACTTCCATTTCAAAATATAAAGTAGTAAAGAACTACATATGTAGAACAATGTAAAAGCCCTGGGTTTGATCCCCAGTATCTATATAATTAAAGAAATACATAAATAACTAGAAAAACAAATAAAAATAGAACTTTCATATTGTTTGCATAAATGTGTACTATATCTTCTTTAGACAAGAAAATTTTGAAGAATAACAAAAATTTTATTTTAATTTGAAGTAAACAAAATCAATCAGATCCAAAGTATAAGCTGTTTTTTGTGTCTTCATAAATCACTTTCAATGTATTTTTATAGTCATATTATAGCAGAATCAAACATTTCAGAACAAATATAAAGTTCATGACTATGTGAATTTTAATGCCTATATGAAGTATTGAGTAGTTCAGAAACTACTTGCCTACATAGGCATTGTCATCCTTTTTACCCTTATAAGCCACATCATTATTATTACAACTAAGACAGTAGTTAGCATCTCACTGAGTTCTTTGTTACCCTATCTAGAAAAAAAAAAAACAATGTTCAGCCAATGTCAGTTTGTGACTGGTATCTATTCTCACTGATTAGAGTACATGTTGTATCAGTTTTTACAGATGTAAATACATGTCCAAATAGAGTAACAAGTAGTATAAATGAATTAATTATTTGATACCAAAAACACTACTGTGGGATTCCACTACTTTTAGTACCATTTTTATGATAAAGAACTCTGGATAAATAACCGCCCAAAGTCCACAGCTAATCAGTGATAGAAACAAACACATCATCAGAAAGTCTGAGCCAGATAATAAGGCATTAAATGCCATAGAAAACTTCTATTTGTATGCAGTAGACTTGAAAATGAGATGGATTTGCCACAGGGCCATCAACATAAATTAGAGTAAAGAAAACACAGATACAGAAAGATTAAAATCAATTATACTGTACAGAACTAGCACTTGATATGCAAAAAAGGAACATAGCTTTTAAAATATGTGCATTCCAAAGCAGATGTGCCACATTTAAAAATGTCTCAGTGAGTTTCAAAAAAGGAAAAATGTTATCCAAAATATTTCCAACTCATAACTTACTTTAAAGGAAAAGTGAATCATCAGGTGCCAACATGAAGCAAAGGTTCCAAAAAGAAAAATGGTAAAGAAAGATTTGGTATAAATAAACAAGCAAGCACTACCAAGCAAGGAATTTACAATCCAGCAATCCTATGAGATAAAATTTCTAACATCCTTAAGAAACACAGCTAAACTGAACCATGTTCATAAAGTGAATCTATCAACTACAACTATCTATGAACAATATATCAAACACATCATAAGCCCAAGGAAAAAACAACCCAAATCCCATGGTACATGTGTACAAGAGGAAAAATACTCATGTAAAATTTAAAGCCTCTGTCAGGTATTATGTGTTAAACTCAAATTCACATTGTCCATACAGTAGAGAAATTCCAAAATCAATCCTTAGTATAAAACCTAACCTGCAAGGAGAAAAGCTTTACAGACTTACAAAAACAGATGCATGTGGCCCCTTTAGATACCTGCACAATTTAGGTCTCAAAATTATACTGAAAAACAGTGACCAGGATTTTTTTTTTACTATAAAGGACTAAACAGTAAATATTTAGGTACTACAAGCCATTTGGTCTCTGCCAATTACTTCTTTCTGCCATTACAGCACAAAAGCAACCATATACAATGTACAGTTGTGTATAGCTGTATTTAAATTAAAATTACTTTAAACAATTAGGCAGGAGACCAGATTTGGCCTCCAGGCATTGGTATACTAACCTGACATGGAAGAAAAAAACATCCATTAAATTAAATCTCACAGGGCTGGCAAGATAGCTCAGTGGTCTAAAGCGCCCGCTTAGGCAAGCTTAGGCAAGCATGCAGGGACCTCGGTTCGATCCCCAGCACCACATGCCATGCCAGCCCCCCCCCCGGGGTGGGCTGAACTGACTATAAAAAAAGAAAAATAAATAAATAAATTAATTAAATAAAAAATAAATGAAATCTCACAGTGAAAACGTACAACAAACCAAAACAAGAATGAGGAAAAATGAGAGAAATCATAAAAATAAGAAACAGCACCCAAGCATTTAAGGAAAAGAACAAAGAAAAAATAAAAACTAAAAAAAAAAAGATATGAAACACTTTAAACAAATTTAAAGAAGTATAGGAAGGTATAATAATGATGTCTCATTAAATAAATATAACCAACTGTAAAAATAATTTAAAAGAATAAAAGGTTAAAGTACAATAGTAAAGAGTACAATACTTAAAAAATACAATAGATGAATTCAACAGTAGACCTGAGCTGATAAAAGAAAAAACTTGACAAGCATAAACGTAGATAAATAGATGTTACATAATCTAAAATACAGAAGGAAAAAGACTGTAATCAAATAAACAAAGCCTAAGAATGTAGGGTTAGCACATGTGTCATGAAAAGAGACAAGAGAGAAGAAATGAGGCTAAAGATATAAAGAAAAAATTTCTAAACGACAAAAAATTCTTAATGTGATACACAGATACTCATATACATATACATTATAATAAAAATAATGAAGGTCAAGGACAAGGGGAAAATCTTTAATTCAATCCTAAAATAAACTACTTATTTTCAATAAGATGCACATGGTGATAATATTTTCAGAGTGCTCAAAAACTCAACTTAAAGGCCTCTGTTCAATAAAGCTATGAGTAAAAATTTAACTGAAGGCTGTCATGGTAGCAAATGCCCTTGTCCCCAGCTTCTTGAGACATTAAGTCGATCACTGAAGCCTATGCAACACAGTGAAACCCAAAGGAGAGATAGAGCAGTAGTAATAGAGATAGACAATTAGAGCTAAAGATAGAACAAGAGATGGAAAGAGAGAACAAGAGAGAAATTTAAATGAAGCAATGGTATTCCCAAATACACAAAATGACAAAACTCATTGCTGTCAAGTCTACTTCTTAAGAAATATTAAAGTTATATATTTTCAGATCAGGGTATGCAAGAAATTGAAAGCTGGTGAGGTGTTTGAGACAGCAGTGGCTGGATAGAGGGGAAATTAAAGGTAGGAGCATGGGGACTGGACTTAGGGAACCTAGATCTTAGTGATGAAATCCAGCACTGTGTAAGCGTGCAAAGGCTGAGCGTGGCAAGATCTTGGCAGAGGGGAGACCAAACTGGAATAGGCATTCATTATTCACCAGAAAAACTAAGAGTGTTTATGCCCATCGGACATGCTGTTCACTGCCCATGTTCTCCCACCATGTAGCATTATGCAGTCCCTCCAGCCCCAAACTAGGAGGCTGATGAATGTGGTGGTGCCCTTGCTAGAGAAGGTTCAGAGCCACCCTTGGCAAAAGGCTTAAAGAGATAGATTCCAGAGACAACTATTGAGTCAGCCTTTTGAAGCAAAGGGAGAGGGGATCAAGGTCCCAGTGGAAAGTGGAAAAAACTGTATACTACACCAGTCACACTGCATCATCCCTCGTTAAATTACCTCAATAATTGGACCTTAAGACAGAGGCAAACATCTACAGGCGGCTACACGTAGCACTTGAAGTGGGGAAATGAGTTTAGAGGAACATTCTGAACAACAATCCTCTTCATTCTTTGGTGAGCAGCTGGGCAGATCATAGAGGAGACCATTTCAGAGGGCTATAATAGCAGGCAGTGCACTGTGGCCAGAAGAGGACCATGGAGAAAAGTTAACTTGTAGAGAGTAACAGTCTGAGTAAGGCAGGGGAAGAGGGACAGGCAGGCTCCAAAGTCCATCCCAGCTCCCTCTAGGGGTCAAAGTTTCCCAAACTCACTAGTTGAACTTGGACTGTAACATAAATGGAATGGTGATGATGCTTTAATCATCAGAACCATGTGGATTTTAGGGAGTGTTATTATTTATTTTCTTCTTGTCCTCTTCCTTTTTTCTCTCTTCTTCCCTGATTTATGCCTTTACCTTCTTTCTCTTTTTTCCCTCCTTACATGTGCCACACATAAAGGAGTTGTCTATATGGGCAAAGGAGAATAATGAACCAGTGCTTTAATCTACATGGGCATGTCCAGGTAACCTCACCAGAACTTTGCATAGAAGATCCACACATAAACTAGCTATTCGCATACTAACAGGTCCCAACATTCTCACGGTTTCTCTCAGTCTACAATTACTCTTCCTTCTCTCTGAGGCCTCCTTCTGTTCCCACAATTCTTTCAAACTCCCTCACACAAGCCCTTTAGTCCAATTCTAAAAACAATTCCAATAGTTTTATCTCCAGTGTGTTCTACTAATTGTTATTTCTCTCTTCTTTTCTTTGTACTTGTTTGTCCCGTCCTTTATCTCCCACCACCACTACCACCAACATTGAGTTATTAATCCAAGGTATTGATTCCTGTGATTGCATTGGTTCTCTGTTAACAATTCCTTTCTTTCCCTGTTTGCTTAATTGCTCACTTGCTTCCTATATCCACTGCAGTAGACCCTTTGTCACTCTGTCTTC